GTGTTCACACAGACCACATCTTCAGTCTACACTGATTTTCTCTGATTTTCCCATAAAGTTAAGTGTCTCTTCACACCAGTGACAGAGCCAGACATACTCTCCACATCAAGCACATACTGAGACACTGGTCATAGTTAATACAGGCACAGACAAAGTAGTTAAGGTCATCCATTAGAGAAAACAGTTTCTAGATATACATTAAGGACATTCAGTTAAAGAGGGGGTTTACTGCTTTTTTCTTTGCATGATTGTGTTTATGGGGTGCAATATAACATGTATTCGTGGTTTTTCTTTTTTAAAAAGTCTTATTTTTCATAAACTTCACCTTTATTGTCAGCCGCGCTCTACTCTGTCCCCTGAACGACCGGTCGACTTCCTGAGTCTATAAAAACACTCCCTCAGAAACAGGCTGTGGGCTCAGATTGGTTAGTTTGTGCCGGTGTGTGGTGATTGGCTAAACTGTCGCTCACGTTGTCCGGAAGGTTAACGCCCATTACCTTTACGGGCGAAACGTGTCTGCGCTCCAGTCCAGATGTAAATAATGGTCGATACTGCAGTATCAGTTTGAGGCAGAATCAGACCAAGAAAGCGGCGATGAGGAAAGTCGAGCAGAACCTCACCACACACGGCTCTTACTAAACGTTTCTGAATGCTAATTTGCTACATTTTTTAACTTTATACACGTTTGTTTTACATAATAGCATCTGACTGGCAACAATAGCAACTGACTGACTACTAATGTTGTACTCAAACAGCGTTGGCATTAGTTTATGTTCTTGATCAAATCGAAAATAACGTCATAAAACATATATGCATGAAAAATTAAAAACATTAGTACTTGTACAAAATTCAGGTCCATAATGTTTGAACGCGTTTGTCGTAGACACAAAATAGCATAACTAGTAGCCTAGTGGCTATAAAGCCAGTGGTGGCATTTAAAAAAAAATAAAACATAAGGCTACGTCTGGAATTTATACATAATACATTTAAAATGATGAAGTCTTAGCCTATTTACAGGTTGTGGTCCAACAACTGCTTCCTCTGGATTTAAAGTTGGAACTGCTTCATGTTTTAGTAACAGTTTCTTGTTGAATCCGGCATTGAATTCGTGAAGATCTGGAAGCTGTCTTTCGTAAATCCGCAGCACAGAGAGCTAAATTACGATCGTCATTTTCAGGAACGTAATCAAACATAAATTGTATCCAGTGTTGACAAAGTACAGCGTCCGGGGGAAGCTCGAACACAGAAGATCTGACAGCTGGATGAACACAACACACTCGACGAGCCGCAGAAATATGGTCATGCTCTTTTTTGCATTTTCCGGAGGGAGGGTTGATGCAAATGTATGGGTTAGGGACGTCTAAAACCCAGCTGTAGTCCCAATCGAGTCGTTTTTGTAGGCAATATACTTTCAGTGCTGCAACTTTGCAGATACTGTTCATGCACCAACCTTTAAATCAAGAATCCAATCTGAGACACGTTCAATCGGTTTACCAAATTTCAAGTTATTTGCATCTTATATTCATTGTAAAAGTATAAAAACACCCCTGGAAGTTATTAAATCACTGCAACAGTTATGACAACACCTAAATTATGTTCAACAGACACACTATATTGAGTTAGAGGAACTTAATTTGTAACATAACACACAATTTGATCATTTAAAATAAGAGTTGAGTTGTAGCCCTGGAACCATTTACTCTTATAGTTCAGTTCAAATCCATAGCTATCATAACACATGCTAAATGTAACTCACAGAAACGATTCTGAAGAGTAAATGCAAAAGTGCCGTTAAGTTATCACTTTTTATTCTGCATTTAGACGAGCGTTTTGGGTGGGAAATCCACGTGCAGATGGTGATGCAAAAGTGCGTGAAATTCATTGTAGTATGCACTCCAGGTGGCTAGGAGTGCATACTACAACACCAAGTCCACGCGCCTGCGTACAACCTTCACAAGCAGACTTTTTGCGTTTTTACCCTTTACACGGTAACGCGGCGGTGGAGCGTTTTTAAGATTTCCACTCTGGAGGGTGGTTTCACTTTTTTGCGTTTTTAAGCCTCAAAAACGCTGTCGCAGTGTAAACGAAAGGCACATCCGATAAAATATTACAAAATTTTCACCCGCGAGCGTTCTCGTGTAAACAGGGCCTTATATAGCATGTAAATTTAATTGACAAGTAAGATACTTGTCACTGGCATTAGTGCAGGGCTTGTCAATATAGTGTTTACCTTAATGTCATCTATTCTTCAGCACAATTGTAACCACAAAATCTTCAAGATTGCAGAAACCACATCAAACACGAAAGGTCTTTTAAAATAAATTTTAGTTCAAGTTACATACAATATGAAATTAACGTAATGATCAACATTAGTAGGCCTATGCCAACAAAACTCAACAAAATATTGTTTAAAACTCGCAAAATAAATTGGTGTTACCCATAAATTAATAAGTGGAGTTGAAATATTATTTTAAGTTTAGATTATATTTCTTAATTTACCTGTATCTTAAAGCTTCTGCTAAAGAAAACCTACAGCAACAAGACATTTTACAGTAGCTAGCCTAACATACAGACGTGCTTTGGGGTTATTTGCTCTGCGATCGATAACTGAGACCGTCTGTCTCTGATAAACAGCGTTGCCATGATGAACGATGGAGAACATTAGGAAATATCAGACCGCTGATTCGCTGAATACCTCGACTGACCAATCAGAGTCGAGTGTTCCAGAGCGCCCCGTGATAAATGGTCATAATCATTTCCGGCCATGATTATGAATTACTCCAGAATAATCCTTTCCAAGACTCTTCATGTCCTATTCCTTTCCTTCACTCTTCTATAGTTATTCTGAAACTTTAATGTCAGAATAGCCTATTTTTACACCAGCAGTCTGTCAGAGTTATTAGTCTAGCTCAACTTTTAGACACCGTGAGGAATGATCTGGAGAAAACTGTCATTTCTGAAACTCTGATGTGAAAGATGAAAAGAGTAGCATGACTGGATAGTCGAAGGATGTTCTGTAGTGATCCGTTTTAATATGACGGGTATAAAGGTTTGAAATAACATGACACAAGTCTCATATGTTTATGCACTAATTACATAGGCTATATTTCAGTAAGAGGTGATTTCTTCTTTATTCCCCCCACTCATACTATGTTTGATTGCACACACACAGAGAATCATGTATATATATAGCCCATTCTCTCAATACTTCACAGTTTTTTCATTCCCAGCTTTTAGCTCTCTGTGTTTCTGCAGTATGTCACTTTTCCAATGAAACCTGAAACTCATTCACCATATGAGTTCCGTCTGTGGACACGTCTTTTTTTCTCCGTATCCCTCTTGTTTTTCAATCTCTTTACCTTTCAAGCCTTCTCAGCTTTTCTCTCTCACTTATTTTCTGGTGCTATAAATGGACAGGCTTTTTCATTCAAACAGTGATCGCAGAGCCCTGTCCATGGTGCTGAAATCTTTCTTTCTTTCTTTCTTTCTTTCTTTCTTTCTTTCTCAAAAAAATATCTCAAAACTGCTCAGAACGCAGATAGATCCTTATAATTCCAACGGGATGATTTTATGCATTTAAAAAAATTCCCAAAAGAGCATTTTATAGACTAAACTCAAAGTCAAATGTATGTACCAGATGTATCATAGCCCTTCTTACGACATTAAACTGAATTCATATGCCTCTTACTCTTCTGTAGTGGACAGACACCATGTTGCAGCTTTATAAATAGAATTTATTAATTGTAACTAAGGATACCAGAGGGTTGTATGATACATAGCTAGAGATGAGAAGTAGGCATGCACATACGTAATTGTTTGTAATAGTGACATTTCTAAGTGTGCGAGTCAAAGACACTGGGCGACCATTTAGTCACCAGTAAACAGAGAAATCAAATCAGTACTTCCAGAGTTTTGTGCTTTCTCAAAGAAAACAAACAAAACAGACGATTGACAAAGAAAAACCTCAGTGCCATCTCTCATGCTTTCTACTAGTAATCTATACCTCTCTAATTAGTTCTCACACTGCAAAACATCATATTCTTAAGTATTTTTGCCTACTTTTTCCAGTTAAAATATCTGAAAATCATTGAAAATTAAGTTTGAGTTAAATTTACTTGGAAATCAGCAATGCATGAGATGTTAAGACCCTAAGACTTGTTTACAGAGAATGTAGCTTTAATATAGGTGTATTTTTTTCTCTGTATTTTGTATGAATTTGGCAAACACTTTATTCTAAAGTGACTTGCAATGGATTCAGGTTTTTTGTAGATATCAGTTTTTTGATAAATCACTTATTACTTATTTACACTTTTTTAAGTATAAAAAAATAAATGAGAGTGAAAGCAATCTACTAGTGAAGACAATATATACTTACATTCAAGATATAATAATAATAATAATAACAACAATAAATCGTTTTCAGTTTAAGTCAGTACGGTTTTTACATGTTTTTAAAATAGGCATCTTATGTTTACAGAGGCTGCAATTATTTGATCAAAAATACAGTAAAACAGTAATATTTTGAAATATTATTACAATTTAAAATAACTGTTTCCTATTTAGATCATACGTTCATCAATCATTCTAATATGCTGACACATTTTTTCAGAAAGTTAAAAAGCCTTTATTTGAATTGGAAAACTTTTACGTTAATAACATTAAAGGGTTAGTTCACCCAAAAATTATGTCAGTATACTCACCCTCATGTTGTTCCAAACCTCTATGTGTTTATTTGTTCTGCTGAACACAAAGGAAGATATTTGGAAGAATGTTTTAATCAAACAGATCTCATTCCCCATTGACTATAGTAGGAAAAAATACATACTATGGTAGTCAATGGGGAATGAGATCTGTTTGATTAAAACACTCTTCCAAATATCCTCCTTTGTGTTCAGCAGAACAAATAAACACATAGAGGTTTGGAACAACATGAGGGTGAGTAAATACTGACAGAATTTTCATTTTTGGGTGAACTAACCCTTTGGTAACATTAATGTCTTTACGGTCACTTTTGATCAATTGAATTTATCCTTGGTGAATAAGTTTTAATTTCTTAAAAAAAAGAAAAATGTTAATACAATCTTAATGACCCCAAACTATTGAATGGTACTTTATATACAGTTATTTAAGTCATGTTTATCAAGTAAAAACTTGAACTTTGTTTCCACTGTCTTTAGATATTTTAACTTTTAAAACACGTTTTGTTTTTATGGATTTTTAGATGATTTACCGTGAAAGAAGTCAATAAATACTAATTAAAAATAGGCTACACTCATACTTTTTCAGGTCAAGCCAATGCAAAAATTCAAATTCAAGTTACTCTACAAGAGTCCTTATTCAGTTCAGAACAAAACGATAATTTTTCCCTTATCTAGATGTAGTTGTGCTCATCATATATCAACCCTAAAGTACTCTTAGATCAGTACAAAGTTCCAAAAGCACTTCCAGGTCAGCGATCTGCATTCATCCTCCTTAATTTGGCAGGCAGGTTGTCCTCCATTCGGCCTCCAGGCGTGTGTGGAGGAGCGTGCTGGTGTGTGGGGACGACCACTGGGGTGGGAGGCAGACTCCTCTGGTGGAGGTCTCCAGTGGACAAGGCCATGGGCTGGAAACCCACCTTGAGGGCTTTGAGGTGGAATCGTGCCTCTCCGTCAACCTGCCCAGGACTAGAGCTGAGCCGCTGTAGTTTAAGAGGAAGGTCCCCCGTACTCGAAGCCTTTTCGGAGTGCTGCGAGCTCAAGCGTAGCGCCTTCCTCTGCAGATCTTCTCTGCCAGACGAACTCATTTTCTGGAGTTTACTGGGCAGCTTGCAAGAAGCGCTTCCGGGATGCGCCCTTTCCTCGCCCGTTTCCAGGCAGTCCATGGAAAACACTTTCTCATGGTGCGGCGTGAGCAGGGGAGAGGGGAGCGAGGATTTCTCCTCGTATTCTTTCACGCTGTAGGGTGGCGTGGGCACCTCAAAGGTGCTGTGAAACTGGGAGTAGTCCACACGAAAGAAGCCCTCTTCCAGAGACATGACAGGCAGGAAGCGGTGACCCCACAACACCTCATCTTCCGTGTACGAGGTACGAGCCTGACATGTCATACCTGTGAGAGACGGCATATAATAAACAAGCATTACAATAGAGAAGAAAGGTTTACGGTTGAAACGTATTTCAGATAAGGTGGCGTTCATTGTCAGGTTGACCTGGCCATGAGAATGATTCATACTGCCCTATTCCTTTGTCTTCTTAGAATGTGATTTAAAGACTCTCAGTACATAATGTGCTTGAGAAGGCAGAGTTTTAAGACTCCTGCACCCATAATTCAGCCAGAGGGTCATTCAGTGAGTCATAAACACAGCCCAGCCATAGCTTTACACAGACTTGCTCTTTCGCTTACAAACCCAGCCAGAAAGACTGAAAACCCAATCTGCGAAGCAATTGGTGTTCCTTAAGAATTCAATTTTCTGCAAGGTAATTCTGTCAGTATTTTCATGGGGATAAACCAATAAATTAAAAGAGAGATGACAAATGACAATATTATTATAAGTGGGTCAATGAACCAATTTGCTCACTGAAACAAGTAAACCAAATCAAGTATTGCAATTAAGTCCACTATAAACCCATATAAGATGGCAAAACTCTTTAGCATTTAAGCATTTATACTCTATATTATGGAAAATCATGCTGGGAAATATAAATCCCAGCCAAGTTTCAGTCTAATTTTAGTTTGCCTAAATTTAAAGAATCAATAATCACATTCGGATTCATTAAAATGTGTCCGTTTTGTGAGCTCCTAAGCAAAAGAAAGTTATAAAAGTTCATTTGATTGAACTAATTTGTTTAATTTAGGTTTACACTATTCAAACCAATTCATTATTTTGAGCATTAGGGTTCACACTTTTCAGTGATGCAATTGTTCAGGCATTCACTCAAGTGATTTGTTCAAATCACAGATTTGTGCATGAATGAAACAAGTAACTGAATTCATTCAAATATATTGATTCATTAATGAACAAAATAAGTGATCATAAGTCATTAAATCATTTACTCAACCATTTGTTCAAAACACTGGTTCATTAATGAACGATACATGCAGTTATATGAGTGAGTCGTTGAATCTTCTGTTCCAGTGATTTGTTCACAACACTTGAACGAAACAAGTGATTATGGGTGAGACATTGAATCATTAGGTGTGTTGGAGGCATAGAGCTGTGTATGACATCAAAGTACTGTGAGAGCGATTAGAGAGCTACCTATCAGTCGAACACACATCCTCACTCAAACGTTTAGTGCAAAAACGTTGAATCGTTCTTGAATTAAACACCAGTCCTGCGTGTTGACTTCGTCTTACTCATATTCTAGTCAGAATGCGAGTCTAATACTGCTCCATAAGGCTTTGATTATGAGGCATGTCTTAACAGAACCAGGGAAAAAACAAAATCTACACTCAATTGGTTAGACCTACACCAGTGTTTTTTTTTTGTTTTTTTTATGAACTACGCAAAGTCAACAGTACTCAACTACACGCACACTGGAAGAAATAGTAAAATAACGAGTGTTGCTTCTTTTACTTGGTCCTCCATGAGTGCGACCAAAGGAGAAACCACAATGACCACAGGGTTTTCATTGCGTCCCATCTTCTTAACAACCATCGGAGCCAGCTGATAAATTAAACTTTTGCCGAATCCTGTTGGAAGGACGGTAAACACATCTTCCCGATCGACAGATGCCTTGATTGCAGTTCTCTGTCCGTCTTTTAAAATTAATGCACTGTTGATTTCCCAAGCTCTCTTTGATAACGTGATAATTACGTAACTGCAGATCATCTGTCCATCATCGTATAAAGCCCGCCCTGACAATTTAATTGGCCTGACGTTTTCTGAACCGATCATAATTACGCCTCAATGGATCGAGTCCAGACCGAATATCCCGACCAAAAAATGCTGCAACAGGCTAGCGTGTTGCAGCATAATGAAATGGCATCATTAAAAGTATTTCCATTAAACTGCACTTGAGAGTATTGCAGATAACGTAAAGCAGCAAATTTGTCAAATATATAATAAATAAATATGCATGGGCAGGGGATCTGTATGCAACTTCATCAGTGAAAGGTGTTCCAATCTGCAGAGCTTCTGTGTGCCTACTAATTAGCAGCCCCTAAAACATGAACAAGCCTCAAAAATGAAGGATGAAAATCCCAACAACTCGCTTTCTGTGAGCGTTTCTGCTGGCACGCATCATCCCATGTAATTAAACCAGTTTATGTGACATTAATCACACTCACTGTGTCCGAAATCTCCACTCAAACCCCTACTCCCTACCCCTATATATGGGGTAGGGAGTAGAGCACTATATAGTGAGCTCACCAGCATAATGGAAACACCACTTTCGGACACTTCTCGATCGTGTCTCGGCGCCGTTGATCACATCACCTGTCAGCTGGTGCCGAGCCGGCTCTGGCTAAATAGATTTTTTTAGAATAAATACATTACATTATATTGAGCTTATTTCTCCAAAATTTCAAAACTAAAAGTCATTTCTGGCCGTTTCTGTTATAATACGCTACTCCACACATGATTATAACTTATCTTTACGATCCGCGCAATGCATGATGGTATGCAGGGCTTAGGTTAGTGACCATCGGGTGTACACTATTTTTCAAAATGCATTCTGGGATACATTGAGTGGACTATGTAGGGTATAATAATCATCACTATACATCCGGACAGCACTACAAAATGGCGAGCTCACTATATAGTCCACTATATAGTGAGTAATGGGTGATTTCGGACACAGCTACTGAGAATTCTTTTATTTTGCTGCCGGAGTGATCGTGCTGAGTAGGAGCAGTGGGGTGGCCTGGCTTCAGCTAAAGCCTTAAATGATGGATCAATGCTGGAAAAAAATGTTGGGAATTTATCAATTGCTTCACTGTGCTGAAAACAGCTTTTTAAGCTCTTATTTAAAGCAAGACACATTTCGCAGTCTTCACAGTAAGACTGCGCAATACTCTGTCGGCATACATAATTAGGGTCTTTCTTTCGCCTCTAGTCTGATCTATGGCATTGATTAAAGAAAGCCTATTTCACACTTGCATTAAGTCTATTTAACCAAATTGCACAAATATTTCGTTCTTTGCCATTTCTTATTAGGGTATACAAATAAGAGAAGATGCAAATTAAAGTGAGGCATTTTGATTCTGTGAGGTGCAAAAGTTCATGCAAAGCCCTGCCATAAAACTAAGGAATACAGAGCCATAGCTTTGTCTTGTAACATTGAGTCTTGTAAATGATTTACTTGACATTTCTGTCTGTGTCAGGGCTTCAGTGGATCAATAAGCACTTATGAGTACAAGATAGACCTCAGTTCCCCAACAGCAGGGTGGTAAAATCATCACACGACTGTTTGACCTGTTACTGGCCTGACAAGAAATGAATGACTGAATTAAAGGAGTAAAATAGATGGATAAACTGGAGTCTTCCTCTGGTGTGCACTGATCTGCTTGATAAGTTTTGTGTCCATCACTGCTGTAATAATGACCATTTCTGACACGTTGTAATGTAATATCCTCCTTCGCTTTGTCTCCATCTCACAACGTCTCTCTGATAGAGCGAGAGTTCAAATTGAAAGGCACCCTGAATGGTGTTTCCATTTTGTCAAAGGTAATTTACAATAAAACAACTAAAAACTGAATTAAATTTCTTCTGAAAAGTTAGAAGGTGTGAAAGAAGTCACAAAAAGAATGTTCTGATAAAAATGGCAGTGCGTTCCGGGGAGTTGCTATGCGGTTGCTAAGGTATTCCAAGTTTTGGTCATTTACCAGTGTTGTTGCTAATTAAAGTTGCTAAAAATAAAAGCTGAAATAAAATCTAAATATTTATACACTTTAACTTATGCACTTTAAAGAAAACCTTTATGAAAATTAGAAATGTAAAAATAAAGTTTAAATTGAAGAACTAAAAAATCCTAAAAATAAAACTGAAATATAAATTAAAGCTAAACAGATAGAAATAAAAAACATCAATAAAAATGACAAAAATCACATAATAAAATGAATAAAACTTGTGAAAATATGAAAAAAAAATATTTAATTAAAATTCTAAAATAGTGCATAAATGATAGAAAAATAAGGTCGCTAACTGTCTCAAGCCTCTAATCTGGTCCATATTAAGTCACTCCTTCAATTTAAATCTATTGTATTTTTAAATTCATTTTAGTGTGAGAAAACTGCTGTCGTCTTCCTACTCCTCTTACATCCTGAAAAGAAAATCCCATTCTGCCGTTCTCAGTTACTTCCTCACACTCTGCCTGCATAAAAAACATCAGGAACCGATTGACCTCGAGTGAGGTCTGAAGCTCATACCTCAAATTGACAAGCATGTGACTGGAAAAAAACGCATTATGTCCAAGGCACAGTTAACAGCATTGCTAAAGCACAGACCTGAATGGATGCAATCAGAAAGACAGCTTATTACAACCCACTCGACACCCCAACTGACCTGACTGTATATTATGTGCATTCAGATGGAAAACCAGGACTGAGGGATGTGAGGATGAATATAGAGAGGTAATCAAGTTTAGAAGGTAAGTGTGGGAAAAGTGATATGTTCACTTCAATTTGATAAATGAATATGAATGATGATAAATAAACACTGCTAAAAAACACTCCTTTTCTTAATTAGTAATTGTGTCATGGTTTCCAATATACATCAAAACATCATTAAAACAATAAATTTACTTGAGGAGTGAATTTGCATAAGACAGTACTGCTGCATCCCAATTCGCATGCTATCCATCCTAAATAGTATCATAGACTGTAAAAAAATATGGACAAAGCGTCTGTGACGTCACGGGAACGGGTTAGAGGCTGTTTATGGGGGGTATGGACAGTGCCATACTGGAAAATCTTTGTAAATACAAAATACAAAAGTTTCAGAAAGGATACAGAGGTGGTATGATGTGTTGTGTCAGATTATGGCCGAGACGTCAAATTCACTCGGCACAGCTCGTTATCAGCTGTCAATCAAAGTTAACCGCCCTTATTTGTCATATATTGTATATCTAAATATGATCTAAACTAACGAGTTAGAAAAAAATTCACCCCCCTCACAGTTGTCAGGCACGCGGAACATATTGAAGATTACAATAAAAGTCCATGGGACCAAACTGTAAACATATGAATTTATGCTGTGAAAACGAATGTTTTAACATGACGTCTATGGATATTTGCTCCCTTTTAGGACCGGCCTCTAGTGGATTTGAGATGTATTGCAGTTTTTCGCACTTCCGGGTCGGCTTCATCTTTCAGATTAGAATGTTGCCGCTTGAATAGTATAGACCCCTTTTTAGTTGGTAAACATGGTGACGTTTTTTGTGGGTGGAGCTTAGGTGGAGGCAGAACGATCCCTCTGGCCGCTTCACTAACGCTAGTTAGCAAGTATTGTTAGCTTGTTTTTTAACAATGACTGGAGAAAATCCGATATTATCTTAATGTGTAAGGTCACTCAGTGTCCAGGACCGCGATTGTTATTTCCAAAAGTTATCTTTAACGGACGGAACCAGATTGGCCGACCCATAGCCGTCTACACGCTCACTCAATGCATGGACGATCTGACGGGATTAATGTTACGTTACCTCGGGTGAGTGGCCTGACTTCTACACCTACCTTATAGAGAAAACGATCATAAAGAGAAACTGAGGGCATATAAATCTTTAGATGCCTATATGGTCCTGTACAAGACTTGTGTGTATGATCCGCAGTTCTGCCGAGCCAGCGCCGAGACTACAACAATATAAAAGAGTGACATTACAATGCGATTTTAATGATGTGAATATTTTCTAGAAATAAAAATGTCCAGATACAGCATATTAATTTTTCATCAATTCTTGCACCAAACAACACAGCAAGATTACATTTAATAATAGTAACAATAATTTGAGCTCCTTATTATGTAGCCGAATCTGTGCTGGTTTGCATTGGCCGCCTCTAGTTTTCACTTTGTTTTGCCTCCAGCTAGTGCCGTGACTTAACTGTGACGTCGGCGCAAAAGGGGTCTATTCGAAAATAGAATTAGCCCCTTTGACTATTTGGTTAGAACTACAAACACGAGTGAAAAATTATCAAATTATCAACAATTGCAGTGTAGCAGATCGAGTTTGCAAAAACCAAACCATGAACATTGCCAATAACATGCTAAAACTATTCTGAGCTGTCATGATTGAAATATATTCAAATAGAAAACAATTATTTTAAATTGTAAAAATATTTCACAACATTACTGTTTTTACTGCATTTTTGAACAAATAAATGCAGCCAGCTTTGGTGAGCATAAAATACTAGATTGTTTTGTTCTTAATAAAAAAAAGTAAGATTTATGCATACAAGAAAAGAACCCCCTAAATATTTTAATTTATTTGCTTAAAGCTCTCAGATTCAATCAAAAATATATTTATTTGTGTTCCGAAGATGAACGAAGGTCTTACGGGGTTGGAACAGCATGGGGGTGAGTAATTAATGACTTAATTTTCATTTTTGGGTGAACTAACCCTTTAAGGAAATACAGGTACATATTGTTTTAGTAATGTAGAAAAAAAAAACATTACTATGCAAAATGGCCGAGGGGATGGAAGCAAATTTGTATTGTAAATGAACTTTTGTGACCACATTCTTAAGCCAAATGAGGTTCCTAAAGGAATGGAGAGTGGAGTGAATAATGCGACTGACCCGTTGTCTCTACAATGCCTTCCAAGATGACGACAATCTCAAACTGCTCATTCATGAGCGAGCGCTGGGACAGGTCGAAGAAAGGGCTCTTGGGATTGATCTCGTGGCAAATGGTGAGGGGAGAGACCAGGAAGAGTTGGTCAGCACCTGTTCCAAAGCCCACATCCAGTTCACACTGATCCAACGGCAGGAACTCGCCCTCCGGGGTCTGACGAGACTGGCAAGAGACATTATCATCATTATGGTCACCATCTTTATATCCATTTTACATTAAAAACTTCAATTTAAAAATTATGCCCTTCAATATCTGAAACAAATTACAACAGAAACAGTCAAAACAAAAAAAATCAAGGATGGTAAGAAATGAAAAAAGGAAATTGAAAGAAGAATGTCAGCATGTGTATTTACAATTTCTCTGCTGTATAAACTGAATTGTAATCAAACCTAAAATAGTAGAATATAATTGAAATTGAGGGACAAATTCAAGCTGTTAGAGTGTAAGGAAAATATTCCTCTCGAGGCAAGTGAAGAGTGAATGGGGGATTTTTGATAAGCATGACTGCTCAGAACAGTGAAATAAAACGCAGACGGAGCAACGGAGGAGGCTGGGGTGAGATAAGAAAATGCCTACAACGCATTGTCATTTCAACCGTGATTTAAGAAGATAAAGAGAGTCTTTTCGAAAGCGAGTGAAATTTAAGACCTACTGATTTACAGGGCAATGTCAAACTAAAAAAGAGAAGGAAACTCCAATGAGAAGAATATGTTTTTCTACACGGGCTAGTGAGGGGTTTGTGTGGCAAAGGCAGAGGATGGAGCCACACGCAAACTCTCTTATGAATAATGTTGCAGTAAATACAAAGTGGAAGAAATTACTCTTACATTCAGTTAGTTGGCAGATGTCCTCGTCTCCATATCATCATCTCTCATTACAATGGCCTTACTGGAGCTGTTTAGGCTAAGAGTGTCTCTAAAGGGCCCTACAGCTGTGGAAAGTGGAAATGTGAAGAATGTGGGATGTAAACCAACAACCCTCTATAAATAGGCCCATTACTTAAAACACTCAGAGGGGCATTAAAAAGCTTCATATTCCACATGTAAACCACCACACAAAACTGTCTAGGCATTTCCAATATCTAAATACTCTACTCATCATGGTATCTATGGTGACAAACAAAGCCCATTTACCTATTTATTATTCTGTCCTCCCAGCGATGCTGTAATCTTGTGAACAATTTGTATTTAATAGTGATGGTGATAAGAATAATAATAATTATGTGGCTGTCCTTAATCAATTAATCCAGTATGGAAAAACAGAGGAGATTGTAGTTGATATAAACAGAAACAACCACAATAACATTGACGATACAGAAACATGAACTAAGGATACTCCGGACAAAACAAATAAAACAAAAATAACGACTTTATCCGACTATTCCCTTTCTTCCTTCTGGGGCTGAGACGAGAGTTCAAGAGATTTCCACGACGCATGCACGAGAATTCTCGTGCAACAAGAACAAGAACGCAATTCTCGTGCATGCGTCGTGGAAATCTCTTGAATTCTCGTCTCAGGCCTACAAGGAAAAAAAGGAATAGTCGAATAAAGTCGTTATTTTGGTTTTATTTCCGCACAAAAAGTATTCTCGTCGCTTGATAAACTTCTAGTTTAGCCACTGTTGTCACATGGAATATTTTTAACATTTTCTTCAATGACTTTCTGGGCCGTTAAGTTTCGATCCCTTAATAGGCAGCCTATGTAGCAGTGATACACATCTCAAATTTAATCAAAAATATCTTCATTTGTGTTCCGAAGACGAACGAAGGTCTTACAGGGTTGGTACAGCATGGGGGTGAGTAATTAAAAAACTTAATTTTCATTTTTGGGTGAACTATCCCTTTAAATACAAGAGGAACTGAACAGAAACAGAACAGGTGTGTGGAATTAGGAACTGCAGAAACTACAGGGTGGGTGGGGGTTCTGGAGTAGGACATTATGGGCATGTAAAGGCAAGAACTAGTGGAACCGTTGGTGTGGGAGATACCAAGGAGGGGATGATGGTGAAAGGAGCCAGGGAGGAGTCAGTAGCAGGAGTAGCCATTCTGGGACCCAGAGAGCAGCCAGGACATAGACCCACAGTGGAGTTGAGGAAGGGAGGAGTCATGATGGAGTGGAGACTTGGCGGACAACACCGGGTGGATAACTGATGGTGACGAGGCCAGTGGGAGTTGACCCCTATCCGCTGGCGTAGAGTGACATCGATGGTCCTGGAGGCCGAGGCGGATCCAGAGAAAAGAGTGTCTGAGGTGGAGCCAGGGTGCAGAGGACTAAGGTGGAGCCAGATGGAAGGCAGAGTCAGATGAAGCCGAAATGGGTGGAGAGACGCAGTGCAGCGGTTGGATCAGAAGTCTGTCGCACAGGCAGAGCGATGTCTGACCAAAGCGGAGCCAGAGGGAGCCTGGTGAACCCGCAAGGACGATGGTGGAGCCAAGTGAGGAGCCAAGGCATAGCAGTTAGGTCAACAGACCGAGGTGAAGTGACTGAATCAGCTGTTGGAAGCAGAGCCGAGGGATCCCCTTTACTCAGTGGAGCTGGAGACCGGAAGGCCTGAGGTAAATCCACACTTTGGAGAGGAGTCAGAGGACAAGCCGAGAGGCTGAAGGGAACCAGCAGAGGCGGGGCTGGGGAACTGGCTGTTTTTGGATGAGGAGGCGGGAGAGGAAGGCTGGGCGGTCACTCTGGAGACACAGGATACTTTGAGCTGGGCGGAACCACAAGGGATGTGAGAATCATGGAAAAAATTACCTCCTCCAATTCCTCTAAATAATTTCCAGAGGCCAGGTACAGGTCATCCACACTGGCGGGGATGTAGGCAGGGCTTCACCCCATTCCCTCAAACTGCAGTCCGTCATGGGCAGCGTTGACGGCTGGCTGGGCTCTGGGTCTGGAGAGGGGCTGGTGATTCCCTCCTCAGCAGAGCAAATGGTGCATGGGGACACGCAGTTCACCATCACCCAATCCACAAACTCGGCAATATTCCCCTAAGGACCCACACCTGCTGTACTTTCAGGCTGGTATGATAGAAGAAATTTAATGAAAATGAACCAGGCACACCAGATATAAAAATCTGACACTACACAATTACACATACAAATCATCTTTGTGTACAAATCTGTGTGCAGCTGAACAGATAGGTGAAGAAAGGCGGATATGTATTTATAAAGCATGCGATGAATCTATTGAGTTGCTAGGTGAGTTTGAACTCTTGTTGAAAGGAAGGCTGGCTGGACAGGGCCTATTACTCCTGCATCCAGTGCACCCAAGCATGAAAATTTAATAGTGCTCATACAGACATAGTATGACATTTCTCTATCTCTCTCTTACCCCATTATTCTCTCCATCTCACTCTTATTGCTCTTTCTCTCCTTGTCATGTACTTTCTCTAGCAAACACGTTCTTGACCAGGCTAAGAAATCAGAGAGAGTGAGGGCAAACTCTGAAAATATGTCTGGTTTTCATGGCATCATAGCAGGAGATGGCATAATGAATTTGTGGTTGAACCACCAGCCTTGGATTTGATTTTATTGGATTGTCAGTTGACTTAATTAAAGCTTTAATGTGGGATTGATCCAGTAACCGGTATGGCTGGGTGATCCATTGACTAGGTTGATCGATTACAGCATGAACAATTAACACACCAACAATTAGCAAAACAGCATATTGAGTGTTAACTGTTATTTAATTATTCAAGGGGGATTTTGATCTCTTTTTATTTATTTTTTTGATCAGATAGAATTATGATGATGTAAAACTTTAACTTCTTGAACTTTAACACACACACGATCATTTCTACACATACAGTAGATACTCTTGTGCACACATTTCCGCCTCAGAAAAAGAGTAGAAAATAAACATTCTTTTGAAATTACACCATCCCACACACACACACACACACATACGGATACACAACCTTCACCCACGCAGAGGTTCTGGTGCCACAGCACTAAGTGTCTTCTCAACTCTTTTTCAACCCACAAGGAGCACTTTCACAGTGAAGTCTATATATCACACCAACTATATATCCAGTGTATCCCAGCTTTCTCTCTCTCTCTCTCTCTCTCTCTCTCTCTCTCTCTCTCTCTCTCTCTCTCTCTCTCTCTCTCTCTCTCTCATACACACACAAAATTTCTGCCAAATATCGATGTGCCTACTACTTTTTATTTAGCACCACTCCTGTCTTCTATCCCATGGTTGTCTTTCATCCAGTTGCCCGGACTGGTTTTTGGGAGTAAAAATGATTTTTGAAAGGTCATGTGACACTGAAGACAGACATAATATCAATAATAACAACACAATTACAATAAATGTATTACTATTCTTACAGTATTTTTAATCAAATACATCAAATCAATGTCAAAAACATTAAAACTGACTTACTGACACCTTACTGACCCCATACTTTTGAATGGTAGTGTATGTACTTTTTATGTTAATGCAGCTTTTTACAATTGTTTTGAAGTCAGACACAGTAAGTTGAGTGTTAAATTATAAAAAGGATAGTTCACCCAAAAATGTCATCATTTACTCATCCCCACGTTGTTCAAAACCTGTATGGGTTTTTTGGTCCCACTTTATATTAAGTGGCTTTAAGTACTATGTACTTTCATTGAAACAAATAATTTGATACAATGGACTTATTGTGTACATACATGTTTTTACATTGTACTTATATTATTAAAATACCAGCATGTAATTACAGCTGTAACTAATTTATGTAATTACATCTGTAATTACACAGCTAACCCATCCCTTACACTTTAACCTACCCTTAAACCTACCAATATCACCACATCTGTCCCTAACCTTACCCAGATCACACCTCAATAGCAGCAAAAGGTGTTTTACAATACAACATGAGCACAAGTACATTGTACTTATTTTCCAATGTAAGTACATAGTACTTAAAGCCACTTAATATAAAGTGGGATCCTTTTTTTTCTTCAGTTGAATATATAAAGAATATCGGTAACCAGACAGTTTGATTACAACTTTCTTCAAAATATCTTCTTTGTCTTCTTTGGAACAACTTAGGTAAGTAATGACAACATTTTTGGCTGAACCCTTTAATAAATGTCCAATTTAGTATTTATTTTGTCACCTTTAAGTTAACCATCATTGTTTTGTGTTAGATAAGTATTGATGAATATATATATATATATATATATATATATATATATATATATAATTTTCACATATAATAATATAACTTTAAATATTACTTTGTGATGTTATTATTTTTTATTAGTTTTACAGTATGTTTCCCTGACAATGCCTAAACAGGGGTACTGCCTTTATACATAGTGCCATCTTTACTATTTTTGGCACTAAAAGGTAGATATTAAGCTCACCTCACAATGTATTTTGAACAGAGTAGAGTGATTGTCATGACAATGAGAACACAAATAAGAAATGACGTGCTGAGATGAGCTTAGAAAGAGTCAACCACATCACCTCCCTTCCAAACCTGTCACCATACTTTTGATTGTTGCTCTGATTTTTGGTGTCCCCATTTTTGGCATGTAAAATACAGACCCCATGGTTCATTGGGAGGTTTGTGGCATTGAGTATGAATGTTATGATACTGTTTTCCAGCTGGTCATTTCAACACAAACTTTCTGTTGCTTTCTTCTGCTCTTGTTTTTCTTTTTACTCCTGTCTCTTTAAGTTACGCTTGAAAAGACAGATTACTGAGTTCAAGGAGATGAGCGGAGATTACACATACATAACCTTTCCTGCACATTTCAGGAAAACACAGCCAAGTACAGACATTCACGCAGAATCACAGTGGGCAGTGGTGATAATCTTAAACTGCATATGAGAAAGTTATCTGAATAAGATGTGAAGTGATGAGATGTTTGCATGGGTCTGATAAGTTGTAATGCTTATATTAATACTGATTGATGTCAAGCTAAAGGCTGTACTCATCTTAATTCAGTATTCGTTGACTTTTAAGGCACAGAGCTAGCCAAAGAAATCTTAAAAAAGCACCTCCATGATTAAAGTGAAAAAGCTGTTATTCAAATAGCCATTTGAATGTGTCTGTGTGCACAAACGCTCATCTGTGTGTGTTAACCTTCATCTGTTTATGTGTGCCTAGACTAAAGGGCTGCCATGATCAAACGTATCATTATTCTTCAGGAAAGAAGAGGAGAAATAGAAAGGAGTCTCTAAAAGAAGAGGGAAACCATGGCTCAAATCCTCTTCAGCAGGTACCAGCAGCCATCCGTTTGACTCAGTCGTGCATGGGTGAATTAAAGCTGGGATTTCACTGCTTTGCCTTCCTCTGACTCACAGTGGCTTTGACAGCAGAGTTGTGGGGCTGTGCATGTGAATACTCACATGTAAATAGATGGCTTTCACACTGTTAATTTAAAATTTAATTTAAACTGGTATAAATGTATTGAGATGACCAGTGTAATCAAAATAAAATAGCATTCAACAGAATAACACATCTATTCTATTCTACCCTGTCAGATTCAATTATGTTGCATACAACTCTACTACATTCTATGCAATCTATCTATGCTATCTATCTATCTATCTATCTATCTATCTATCTATCTATCTATCTATCTATCTATCTATCTATCTATCTATCTATCTATCTATCTATCTATCTATCTATCTATCTATCTATCTATCTATCTATCTATCTATCTATCTATCTATCTATCTATCTATCTATCTATCTATCTATCTATCTATCTATCTATCTATCTATCTATCTGTACTGTACATAAACTCTATAGAACATTGTTGTAGAGAACATTGCTCATTAGATTGATTTTATTCTTTGCCAGACTTCTCTACTCAATTTCAGAACAAAATCAATAGAATCAATACAGAGTTAACAGAATTGTATCATTACTGAGTAATTCAAATAAAAACGTGTCTCTCTCTTCTATCTATCCTCTGTGGAATTACACAATTAAATGCACATACATTATATAGACTGTGTAATGTGCACCCCTGAGGATCTTATACTGATGAAGGCCATACACATATAACGTGTGTATAAAACTCATCCATCTGTATCACTGCTAGGTCACATGTCCCCAACGCCTGTCAGTGACAAGACAAATAACATCTTGTCCACTTCACATTTCATGCATCACTGCCAGCCCTATAACACACATGCATGCTCAACACACCGAAGAATACATATTCATACATAGGTATAAATAAGTCCCAGGATGCCTGTGCCCCATTATGAACATACTCTTGTGATGAGACCTTTATACAATACACACCCACGTCATCGAATTATCTGCAATTAACTCACTCACACATGTGACTGCACAACAGAAAAGATCTGTTTGTTTAAACAAATCCAGCTGAACTGCAGTGGGAGCATGTTTCATCTCAGTTTTTATGAGGTTACTTGTACAATTAGCAATTTGTTATCATGTCTAACCTCTACTGTGTGTTTGTGTGTGTGTGTGGTCTGACAAGAATAGGTTCAGCTGTAAAATGTAAATGGCTTTTTAAATGTAAATGGATAATAACTTCACCTTGTAAATTTAATTTACATGAGAATGAATCTGTGTTAATTAGTGATGCACGATATGCAGCCACTATATCCAAAAATTTGGATTTGGATTTAGATTAATTGGCCAATATTCCGTTTATCGCCTTACAAATAAAAATAATTAATGGTTCTCGGTATTGGCCAAAATGTTCATACCAATGCATCCCTAGTGCCATGCAGAGGTGGAAAATGAGGCAATACCTTCAAAAATAATGTGTAAAACTACTGAAAATGGATCGACAAATTACAACATTTTCCACTTCAAGTTTGAATCAACATAATGATTTTGCTAAAAAAAAATATTTATATACAGTGCTGGTCAGAATTATTTGCCCACTTGGTAAATATGATGAAAGATGGCTGTACAAAATAAAACTGCATTGTTTATCGTTTTGATATACTTTGAATTTAAAGTGGGGGAAATCAAATTATGAAATAAATGTTTTTCTCCAAAACACATTGGGAACAATTATTTTCCCCCTTTTTGCAACCTCCTTTTGCCAAGATAACGGCTCTGAGTCTTCTATAATGCCTGATGAGTTTGTAGAAAAACTGACTAGAGATCAGAGACCATTCCTCCTACAGAATCTCCCCAGATCCTTCAGATTTCCCAGAAATCCCATTTTTGTTTTCATTTTGATGTTTGTCCTATTGGAAGATCCAAACATGGCCCGTTGTAAGCCTATCCACACATGGCCTATTTGATCGAATCCATGATGCCACCATGTTTCTGAACAAGATGTCCAGGACCTCTGGCAGAAAATTGCCAAAAAAGCTAATATTTTTTTTTCAAAAGATTCGATTAAAAAAAAAAAAAAAAAAAAAAAATATATATATATATATATATATATATTTTTTTATTATATTATATATATATATATATATATCAAAAGGATAAACCATGTAGATTTATTTTTAACAGCATCTTTCATCATATTTACAAGGGGGCGAATAATTCTGACCAGCAGTATGGCATTCTAAAAGGTACGCTCAAGTGTGCTCTATTCTATTCTATTCTATTCTATTCTATTCTATTCTATTCTATTCTATTCTATTAATTGATACTCCTCCTCTCATCTCTGGCTCATGTTTCTCATTGAGTTTTCCTCATTTCTTCCATGTTGCATTAGAATACTCTTAGAAACACAAGGCTAAACACAATTTCTCTTCCTCGTTTCCTTGTTTTTTTTTTCTTTTTTTGTCCCTTATTATAACGATTTGTTTTCCTTTCATCTCTCTGCTCTTTTCATCTGTTCTTTTTTCCTCTTCTCTCTGTACTCTGTTTATTAATTCACAAACAATAGAGACAGTGACTCAGGGTGAGAGGAAGGTTGATAGATATATTTCATTTGTTTGGAACTGAAGATAAAATAAGCAGATGGGGGGGGGGAAATCATGGTGATGTTTCTCTAAAATTAGAGAACATGGAAAGATCTCTCATTAGTTTAATAATAAATAAAAAATGCAGTTCATGGCTTTGCAATGACATGAGGGCAAGTAATGACTGGACATATTAATTTTTAAGTGAATTATCACTTTTAGCGAAAATATAAGATAAACTGTGAGAGGTTCCAAAGGTGTATATGTGTGTATAATATATACTCACAAAACTCAACACAATATGTCTTGAATCCACTGAAAACGTTCGTGTTTAATCATAGAATGTGAGTGTGCCTCTTTAAGTGAGCATGATCAATATTATCAAAGCACACACAGCAGGATGAGGCATGATCTGACAAAAGGTGACTGGGAATGACTGTGTGTGTGTCTGTGTCTGTGTTGGCGACTGAGTCTAAATAGACAGGATATGCCGGCTTTAACAAGAAAGAAAGAGAGGGAGAGAGAAAGAGAGAGAGAGAGAGTATGTGATTAAAAAGCACAAATCAATGCCACCTATAGGTATTCTTAAGTGTCAAAGGCTATGTTTCATCTGCAGGCAAATCAGATTTTTTTTTTTTTTTTTTTTTGCAAATCAGATCTTTTCAGGCAGACTGTCCCATTACTAATTGAAAGTGATCAAATAAGATTTGTGTGTCCAGACATAATCAACCTATCTGCATGGTTTGCTTTTGTAACGGCGTAGTGTACCAATGTGTGACGAGGCTTTCAAAACGTATGCCTTCTCCAAATAAATGCCATATAAAGCCATGCTGAACTCCTCAGTCACACAATAAAAACTCAGCGATGGAGGAGACTGGTATTGTGATGTTCGGTGCTGTAGTCACGGCATATCTTTGGACATACCGTCTGTCTCTAAAAAAAGTATTTTATTTTATATATATATATATATATATATATATATATATATATATATATATTTAACATACTGTATATGAAGAGTTCAGATGCAAAAGCCTCTAAATGCCATTTGAAATTTTCTTCTTTAATGATGATTTTTATCAAACTTGTATATTTAAGTTCAGTAATTTCACTTAAATAACAATTAATAGGTAATTGTCATTGCAATTTAAGTGAAATCACTGAACTTAAATATACAAGCTTCATAAAAATGATCATTCTAGAAGAAAATTTCAAATGGCATTTAGAGGCTTTTGCATCTGAACTCTTCATATTTTAATAATGTGCTGTGCCTATGGCAAGGGTTCTTTTAAATAAGCCACATATTGCTTAACATAAAATACTGATGAGAACAGAGTTAAAGGCACACTATGCAGGAATTCCTTTTATGTCAAACAGTGACCCCTGGAGTCGCTGTGGAGTACTTGTACTTAACGTTACTGTCGTAAATACCACTCACGCAGAGCGTCTCTGCACTCACGGCCTGATACTCCTCTGTTATGTGAAGGTACAAATGTTGCATAGTGTCCCTTTAAATAAGAGATCTAGGGGTTTTTTAAGGGTAGGCCTACTATGATATTAGACTGCAAAAAGATAATGAATTTCAAACCTGGACCAAACATTTTTTTCAAAGATCAACAGTCTGTCAGTAGTCTTTAGTCTGCCACTAAAAAACGGCGTGTTGTGGTTCTGGTACACCAGCCATGTTAACGAAACGAATGAAATGTTCATTTGCTAATGAAAATTTGCTAAATTCGTGCCTATATGTTTGAACTTCAAAAAAAGAAAGCTAAAAGATGCTGCAGCCAATGAGCCGCCTGCGGGGGCCGACTCAACCTCCACAGACAGTTTTTAATATTTTATCAGACAATAACTATTCAAGATTTTGCTTTAGGATAATTTTCAGGACATCTGGGGCCGGATTTGGGACAACAGCTTATGGCGCTTTTCCACTACACAGTACCAGCCCGACTCGACTCGGCTCGACTCGCCTTTGTTTGGTTTTCCACTGTGTAAAAGTTGTACCTGTTCCTGCTTTCAGGTATTTTTTTTAGTACCACCTCTGGCGAGGTTCTGAGCGAGCTAAGGCGATACTAAAATGTCACGTGAAAACAATGCCAACTGCTGATTGGTCAGAGAGAATCGTCACCATTCACTGCATCATCATTACACGCACCAGATGGATCATCCAGAATAACCCCGCTATTTTTAAATAGTTTGGCCAGAGATAGTTACTAAACTTACTACTATTATTACGGCAACTCGGAAGAATAAGCCGTGGTCAAACGAGAAGGTGCAGACTTTCCTTTGTTTGGTGGCCGAAGAGAGGATCCAGCGAGAGACTGATAGGGCAACGAGGAACGAAAGGCAACGCTATGACAACCGGGTACTATTTCTGGCGGTACTGTCTGGAATGGAAAACGGAACGAAAAGCGAGCAGAGTCGAGCCGAGTCGAGTCAAGCTGGTACTGGTAATGGAAAAGCGCCATTAGATTTCGGGACGTCTGGTCACCCTATGTGGCGGCGCGCGCACGCAGTCTCACTTGGACGCGCTCTTCAATTTATCCCTGTTG